AGACCCATCTGGACACAACCCTGAGCCATGAGCTCTGGGCTGGCCCTGCTGGAGTAGGGAGGTTGGACCAGATGACCCATTGTGGTCCCTTCCAACCTGACTGACTCTGTGAGTCTGTGCAGAGAATTAAAACCACACAAATCTTCTGAATGAAAAATCAAAGTGCAAGAAACATAAGGTTATGGGGCAAAGCCTTTGTCCTTCATTGGCCTACTTCATTATTGTGAGTTTGCCTCTCTTGATTAATAGTACTACAAATTGCTTTAAACTATGGTTTTTTTCCTTTTATTACCTGTCAGGAGAACTATAATAAAATATGTAGCAGAAAAATGCACAAATTCTAGCATACAGTTACAAGTAACTACCAAAGGATTGAAATTAATGTTTGTGTTGCTATTTAAAGAAAATGGCAATTTATTTTCATATTTCACACATTTTGACCATTTTTGGTTTTGTTTGAAAGCAGAATATTTTGAAGTTGGTAATGCAGGAAAATCCAAAATGAGAATCCTCCCCTTGCACAGTTGGACACTGAGGAGCTTTAAACTCTTACTGCTTTGTAAATTCAGTAAGAATCACTTGTTCCTTGATTATAGAGCTGCTTGAGATTAGAAAGGCAGAATTACTGAGAATATGTAAATCAGCCATTTGAAAACATTTCCTGTGTTGTAGTGGTGCTATTAGAATTATATTTAGAGATAAGGATTCTGAAACTAAAGTGAACCTGATGTCATTATCCAGTAGTCAAAAATAGCAACAAACCAAATAAACCAATAACCAGACAAAGCCCTACAAAATCCCAGTCCCTATTCTTTTACAAGTTGAAAAAATTATATCTTTCTGCAGTAAAGCTTTGGATATGGATCTCTGTAAGTATCAGCTCTTCTAAGTGTATCTTTAAATTTGTTATATTTTGCCACTTGAATGTAAATAGGAGACACAGAAGCATGGAAAGTCTGAAACCATTCTGGAGAAGACACTTCTCACTAAGAACCATAGAGTCTCATAATCATAGAACAATCAAGGTTGGAGGAGACCTTTAAGATCATCAAGTCCAACTATTAACCTGTCACTGCTGGAACCACTAAACCCTAAACCAGATCCTCCAGTGCCACATCCAGACACCTCTGAAACACCTCCAGAGATGGTGACTGCACCACCTCCCTGGGCAAGAATTCACATTTGAATGTGAATCAAACAGCAGCTTCCATTGCTGCTCCTAAAAATATAGGGAAAAGCATAGTTCAAACTGATAAAGAAATGGTAGGAAGGATATAATAATATTAGGTGTATTAATTTCCAGAGGAGCTATTGTGGCAGGGTCTCCTTGTTCATGGTCTCGTTGCACAAGAAGATGCAAGAGAGTGTATTTTGTCCTCAAAAGTTTAAATGATGAGTTGATGAGATGAGTGGATGTAACAAATACAAGGGCCAGATGACAAAAAAATCAAAGGGAAGGGACTGTGACCAGAAGATGTTTTTACATTTATGTGTTGTTGTATAAATTAAAGGTTTGAGGTGGGTAGTTCAAGCAGACATTAATTATGACCAGAGTCTCAGCTGGCCACTTGCCTATCCAATATGAGCTGTCAGCTGAGCACTGAGGGAAGATTTGATGTCAATGAATACAAAGTAGGAAAACACATGAAGTCTAATTATATGCAAAATAACCCTGAGCTGAAGTCTGTGCCTCCCTTACCGTCTGTGTTCTCTTTCTGTCCACAAACTTCAGTGCTGAAGCTCTTGTATGAACAGGAGCCCTGACTTTCTGGCTCTTCATTTCAGGTTATCCCTGTGACATTGCAGTGATAACAAAAGGCACAGGAATATGTCAGTTTAATATATATGTCAATGAGAAGGAGGTTTGGGTGTCTGACAAGAGCTTCAGTCATGCTGTTGCTCTTCTCAGTGTCTGAAAAGCTCTACCTATTATCTTACCTGGGACTTGGAGAAAGAACAGCCCAAGTCTTTGTTCTATCATTCTTCAAGTCTCACTCAGCTTTGTAATATTTTTGTCAATGTAATGTTTTTCAAAGCATTTTTATTGGTCTGTGTGTTTTTCCCCAAAGAAACACTTCGGCCACGTGGGTATTTTGGCATTGCTCCCATGTCCAACATTCATGGCACATGCAGAAGCTTTATGGATTGCTCCAAAAGAAATGCTTTAGTGACAGGTTTCTCTTTGTAGACCTTTCAGCTCTACCTTGTTCAAGGAAAAAAAATCCACAGGAGCTGGCAATTCTAATTTGATAGGAGTAAAAGCACATTGGCTTTGAGTGACACTGGGCTAACACACATCATGAGATGACATTTCCAATTTGTCACTTCAGCTGTGTTAGCTCTTAGGTGTCAGCTCATAATTATTTATGAAGATTATTTTAATGTATGGGGTTTTGGTGCACTAAATTGCATTTATGAGTGATCACAAGGGCATCTAGAGCAAGAATTTC